GGTGTTCCCATGTATCTGCTGCCCTTGCCCTTCTAGATGGAAGTGGCCCTGGGTTTGGAAGGTGCTGTCCGAGGAGCCTCGGTAAATTTCTGCAGCGCATCACGATTGTACACACTGCTGCCACTGAGCTTTGGTGGCAGAGGGAGTGAAGGTTGAGGATATGGTGCCAATCAGGCAGGCTGCATTACCTTTGATTCTGCCAAGCTTGAGTGTTGTTGGAGCTGCACCATCCAAGCAAATGGAGAACATTCCATCACACTCCTGACCTTTGCTTCATAGATGGTGGACAGGCTTTGAGTCCTTCTTAAAAAAAACACACAGACTTGCATTAGGCCTGTGCCCTTTTGGATTTAGGAGAATGAGAATTGATCTCATTGAAACAAAGATTCTGAAGGGGGCTGACTGGATTATCATGGGATTAAATCGTTCCCTCTGTCTGGGAAATCTACAACACTGAGCTGTAGGGCACCATCTCAGGATATGGGGCTGGTCATTTAGGACTGAAAGCCGGTGAAATTTTATCACTCAAAGGGTTGTGAATTCTTGGAAATCTCTATGTCAGAGGGCTCTTGATCCTGCATCAATTAACTTTTAAAAGGTGAAGGTAGACAGATTTTGGGACTCTCAAGTAATCGAAAGAAGTGGATAGCAGATGGGGAAGTGCAGTTGAGTCCAAAGATGAGGTAGGATCACATTGAATGGCAGAACACTCTCGAGCCGCTGAATGACCTACACCTGCTCTCATTAATACACCATGCTTCAAAGCATCACATTTAAGCAAATACAAAATGTATTGCAAATATTGGAAGACTGAAACAAGATAAAAGGCAGGAAATACCTAGACTAGCTGGAAGCAGTGAGGAGAGAAACAGAGATAACATTTCAGGTTTCTGTTTTTAAATTTACAAGTAGTAGTGATCCTAACATTGGTTAAAGAGCTAGGACAGGTCAAAAGTAATTGGGCTTACTGGCTGTAGTTTAAATTAAACATGAAAAATGTATGTGTGAACAAGGGTGAGGATTTAGTTTTAGTGACCTCACACTACCAAAACTCCCCACTCACTGGCCAGAACAACCTGCAAGCTTATGCTTGAAGCTGGGAGTCTGCACCTCTGGAGAGAAGCAGAAAGTAAGTTTATAAAATAATGAAAGTAATTTATTAGGAAAAAAATTATAAATAGCTTTCAGCATCAAATGTTGAGAGAAGTGGCAAAGAAAAGTCAGGAAAACAAGTGCTTTTAGTTACAAAGCCTGTGCATTACAATTTATTTTTATTAAGCACTTTGACATCATTAAGCTTCCTAACATTTTCACAGGAGTATTAGAAAACAAAACAGTGACAACTTAAGGAGATGCTTGGTTAAAGAGATAGGTTGTGAGGAGTGGCAATAGGAGGGGGAAAGTGAGGTAAAGAGCCAGGAGGGTGAATGAAGGGGATTCCAGAGCCTACAGCCAACAATGGTTAAGGAAATAATCAAGGACACTCAAGATTCTCAAATTGCATGAACAAACTAACAGCATAGAAGTCATTCATGAGCAGATACAATTCTGAATACAGGAGCAAATTACTGCAGATGCTGGAATCTGAACTGAAAACAAAAAATGCTGGAGATCACAGCGGGTCAGGCAACATCTATAGAGAGAAAGCAAGCTAATGTTTTGAGTCCAGATGACTCTTCATCAGAGCTGAAGAAGAGTCATCTCGACTTGAAATGTTAACTTGCTTTCTCTCCATGGATACTGCCTGACCTGTTGTAATCTCCAGCACTTTTTGTTTATAATTCTGAATACATTGGGTTTGTAAAAGGTAATTAAATAATATCAAAGACAAGAAAGCAGGATTTGCATTTTTAAAATAGTAGTCTGAAATCAAAAAGTTCCCTATGGCTTGCACTGACCATTTCACTTCCTCCACACAGGAAAGACATTACAAACTCAACCCTTTAACACCAGATGAAACAAGAAGACTGCACTATGGAATTACCATCCAGAAGGTTATACTGAAAAAGATGCAGCTTGTCGAGTTAAAGATTGGCTTGCTAAAAGCTATTCTCAGCTCTCTGAAAAAAAAGAGGAAAGTGAAACATATTCACAGCCACAACAGAAACTTATGTTGTGCATGTTCCTATTGCAACAATGCTAGTACTGGTTCAGCTGGCACAGACATTACTGTGGCTGGATCAGACAGATAAAATACTGCAAAGAAATGTACTGCTAAATATTAGAACAAACTTGAAAATATCTAATAATGATTAAAATAATCTACTCTAATTTCTGTATCTGAATTTTGTTCACTGATGTGCATTTGAATAGATGGTCAGTGTTTTCGAAACAAGCACAGGAAGTGCTGGAGAAACTCAGCAGGTCTGGCAGCATCTGTGAAGAGAGAGGAAGAGTTGATGTTTCGAGTCCAGTATGACTTTTTCAGAACTGTGATTCTGAGATTCTGATTCTTGAAGAGTCATACCGGACTGTAAATGTTAACTCTGTTTCTGTCTCCACAGATGCTGCCAGACCTGCTGAGTTTCTCCAGCACTGTGTTTGTTTCAGATTTTCAATATCTGCAGTATGTTGCATTACAATGACTTTTTTTGAAATTTTGGTTGCCAGAATGTGACAAAAACTTGCCTTTTTATTTTGCATCCTTCATGACCATAAGTACTTTACAGCCCTAAATGTAGAAAACACACCAGCCTCTCAAAACTTCCAGAATCAAAGTAATTCTTTAACAAAATAAAAGTAACAATGAATGTATGCCTAAATTGATTTGGCTATAGTTAGGTGCATATTTTATGAACATTAATGTCACAGTGAGCACAACTATAACAACCAGCATCAGAAACTACAAGACTCAAGATACTTGGATTATTTTTACCAGAGCAGGGAGGCTTCAGAGGAAATTTGATAATATATCTAAGATCATGACGGTTATGATAATGTGGTGAGACACACAAAGCTATGCCCTTTGGGAAGTCAATGTCAACCCATCAATTTAAATTTTTTGCACAAAGTAGTATAAGGAAATATTCATAGAAAAGGTTGTTGGAAGCATGGAATACTTTATCACAGGGAGAGGTTCAGACCAATCTTCCAAAAGACAGTTTCAGGATAAGTTGAATAAACGTTTACAGCAGAGCAGATGGAGAGAGGTCAGGCTTTGGGATTAGTTTGTGATATCTCAAACAAGAGAGTTGCCTCAACAAGTTTACAGTGAGAAAATTGATGTGTATCAACTGGATAAAATAAATTCTAAACAAGTGTTCTATTCTGAATTACTAGACCACATTAGTACCTTATGAGGAAAGGCTAGGACCTGTATTCTTTAGAGTAAAGAGTCAGAGGTAACAAATGTAACGTCAAAGATGCCAAGGCAACATGATTGGATGCGTGTCAAAAGAATGTTTTGTCTTGTGAGAGAATCTAGAATTAAGGTTCAAAGTTTAAAAATAAAGGGGTTGCCCATTTAAAACAGAGATGAGAAAACCTTTTTTGCCTCTCAGAGCAGTGAGTGTCTTGGAATTCCCTTCTTCAAAAGGCAGTAGATGAGAATCCTTAATTTTTTTTTTAAAAGGCAGAGGGAGACAGATTCTTGATTAGTAGCGTGGGGAGTAGAGTGAAAGATTATTGGGGATATGCAGGAATCTGGGGGTGAGTTAAAAATCAGATCAGCCATGATCTTATTGAATAGCAGAACAGACTTAAAGGACCAACTGGCCTACTCTTGTTCCTGTTCGTATTAGTACCACTACAATTCACAAAGAAGCAGTTGTTGAATTGAAAGGGAAAAAAAGCCAATCCTTACACACTATCAGTGAGCCCCATTCACACACTCTCCTGACAGGCAGTACTTGTGTAGACATCAGCCAAGGACAAGACTAGACCAAGCTGTGAATCCTCCATCTTCATTACTCTTACCAACACAGACCTATACAGTCAAGACTCACACTTAAATAAAGGCTACTATGTTAAGGTACTGGATTCATGGAACAATAGCCCGAAAATCAATGCATTCAAGGTGATCAGGGAGGAAAATTGAGAGTTACAACGTGGGTGGGTGGTTGGGTTGGTGGGTAAATAGAACAGAATTTGTTCAAAGCATTCTACCAACTTTTGACCTACAACTAAAAGTACATGTACAAAATGGGGAGAACACTTTGGGGGTTGATTTGATATAAAACAAATGGGCTTGAAGGCACATGAACAGTACTATGGAGTGAAATGCCTTGGGTTTGAATATAGGACTTCACTCATCAAGCATCTTCTCAGTCCTCTCATTACTTAAATCAGAATACCCCAAGAAAGTAATGAATAAAGAGTTTAGAAGGAGAGGGAGGATGAAAGATCTCTCTCAAAACAGGTCACACTCAAGTGACTGTTGTGTACATCTTAGCTCAAGACTTCCCAAAGTGGTGAGTCAAGACCCCAAGTGAGATTGCAGGTTGAGATTTTAGGACAGTGAGCTGCAAGGAGAGCAATGGCTGCCATGTAGCTCTGCCCTAGACACCGCCCCCCCCCCCACCCCACCCCACCCCCACCACCGCCAACCTCTACCCCCAGCTTTTCCTGGTCTCACAAATCCAGTCTCCCCAACACTGTCTTACTCACCCACCCACCCTCCCCTGCCACAGCTGTCACCGAGGAATTGCAACAATTCTCAAAATGGGGCCACAGTGAGAAACGTTTGGGAAGCACAGTCTCAGCAGTTAGATCATAACAAGTCACCTTTGTCTGTAGTCCAAGAAGACTGAAAAAAACAGTAGGGAAGGCGGTGTTCAAAAAGCAAAAACTATGTAAACTTGAAAATTCTCTACTAGAAACCATTACTTTTAAACCTGGCACCATAAAAATACAACTTGCTCATTCCCAATGGTAGTTTGACCTGCAAACCTGGGGTCCAAACAAGACCAATCAATATGTTTCAAAGGAAAAGTATTGAAGATGTAAATTAGTTAGTGGCACTTTTTTTTTATATATAAACCCAAGTAACAAAGTCACTGACCTGTCATTTCTTCCATTTATTGTAAATTGACACCACATTGGAACTTAATTTATCACAGCTGTTTAAGATAGGATTGGTTTCACAATTCCAAAACATGCCAATTATCTAATCCTATTAACTGTGTTAATCATAACGCTGTTCACGGAATCTATGCTTACAGATGTCAAATACTTTATAGATAAAACAGAACAAGATCAAGCAGGATTCCAATATTCACGCTGCATCTCAATAGTATGAATGACCATTGACATTTTTTTTAATCCATTCCCCACAATAATTTAAATATTCCATTTCTTGTCCCATGTTCATTTCTTAATTTAACTTACTTAAAAGTTCCATCTCTTAATTTCAATTAAACTTTAATGCTTCATTCACAACATCTGTTTAATGTCATAGCCCACAAAAAACGTAAAAAAAAAACTGAAAACAGTGTAAATGCACAGATCAGTATATGAAACAGAAACAGGGGCTAATCTTTGCGAATGGAGCCCTTCATCAGAATGGTTTCAATCAATTTTTAATTTCCATTTTGTATACACACAGGACTAAATAAAAAGTTTTAAGAATATTACACTGATGATTGGTGTGCGAGATATAGATGTGCAATAAATCCTTTATTTTTTATTGTCAAAGTAACATTATGGCTTGTTCACTATGCAAAAATAACTTACTTCTGATAATCCATTCTGCACAGTTAAGAAGCCAACCTTCAGGCTTTTGAATGGACTGACCACAAGCCAAAGGCTGAGCCCATGGCCAACTCAAACAGCGATGATAAACTTCATCTCTAGATTTCTCACATGAAACATCAAATCTGCAATGTCCTCAGATTCAAACGTTTTGCATCACAACCAAGTGAAGATATTTTATTAAAAATAAAAATCTGGCTACCTCCACTGGTTCTGTGGACAAACAATGCCAGGCTGTGGGGCACCGAGGTGTATATCAAACAGGGAATTTTGACTAGCTGTTTTCCCTGGCATCACAGGTCTCCAGTGCGCCGTGGTAGAGATGCCAGAATCCTGCGCTACTTGGGAGTGTTCCTGTTGCCAATTGTTGCTGATTGACCCACAAGGTTGGAACTGGAATGGGTTTGACAGCGTTGCTCACCCCAACACATTTAGAACACCCAACTCAAAGCTAGTACATGAAAAACCGAGAACTTGGGCGAGGTAGTGGAGGGCTGGAATTAGTGATGGAGAGCACCACTTGGAATGGAAGAGCGAGTGGGAGGAAAAGAAAAGCACATGAAACCCTGCAAGTTAATTTTTTCTCACTTCAGCTGATCCGGAGATTTAAACAGCAGCAAATAAGAAGTCAATGAAACTTGTGGCATCCCAATTCATGAAACAACTTATGACAGTAAACTACGAAGGTCCACAATCCAGCAGGGACAGTACGGGTGGTGACAACTAACTGTGCGCAGAGTCACATTCAGTGAAATGAGTATAAATCTCTTCCATCCCTGATACTGTACACACCATGAACATTTATTTTATATTTGGAACTGGTAATTTAACAACTGAATACAATTAGCAGCACCCTCCCTTGACCTCTTCTGTAGCATATATTAATGCAAACAAAATGGACAAAGATGCTCTGGGCAATACAGAAAGGTAAGGTATCATACAAATGACTTCACAGGTACCAAATAAAAATGCAATATCACATGCCAGTTAAGGTACAGACTGGGTTCATTTCAGTCAGAGTCAATTTACTTCATGAACAGTCACTTGTAAATGAAGGAAATAACGGATATACTTTAACCTTCACTGGTCAAAGCTCTCTAGAATTCAAGTATCCCAAACACAATAAAATTAAAAACGGACATAAAATGAGGGGTATCCATAACCCTGGAGGGAGAAACAAAATACCAGAACTGTCATCAGATCGAGCAAATTTTGCCCCAAACTTCTTATTATCACGATATGAAAAGTTATTACAGTGCATATTTACTCATATCCTACATCTGCTGACATAGACATGAGCACTTTAAAGAAACCCTCCCCACAGGTAATGGCTTTGGTCTGAAAACTGAAAATTAAACCACAGCACAAACCTGAATCTACCTAGTTACATCAACATGGTTTTACAATTGTAATTCATGTTCAGAGTGACTGGAATTTCTCCCCAACCCCTTTTCCTCACCATTTCTTTTCTAAAAACATTGGCTTATAGTGGGATAGAGTTCCATCAGTATTGTCCAGTACCCTTCTAGCGACCATTGCTCATTATGTCTAGACAGCAAGTGTCAGCAAACCTGTTGACTGGGTTTCCAACATGCAAACACAGACCCTTTCAGGAAGGAAGTGTCAAGGCATAACCTTTGTTAATTTGGTAGTAAAATGCCATTTGTGGCACTACTAAGCCAACTCCTCACATGTATAGTTAAGGCTGCTCTACCAACTGAGCCATCACAGAGCCCAAGAAGCACTGTGCACCCAATATCCCCCTCTCACTCAAAAAGCAGCATGGAAAAGGAGAAAATAAAACACTTTACTATCACCACTCCTTCATTTCAGAAGAGAGACGAAAAAACATCTGGTGACCAGCCACGTTTACATTCATTCTTTTCCCAATCTCTTCCAACCCAGACTCATATGGTCTCTCAAAATAGCATTCAAGTTCAATCTTGATCTATATCATTTGAAAACTTGAGACCCTTAATAAAAAGGAATTTTTTAATAAAGAACTGATATAAATAGAGATGTTATCTCACAGTTTGCTGGTATGGAAGATATCTAAAGCAGTAGCAAATAAAGCTTTATAAAGTTGCACTTTTACTTTGAATGTGATGTACATGAAACATTTCCAAGAGCACTTGGGACAACATCTCGTATATGATGCAACTTAGATTCAAAGATTTATAACCTTAGGTATTGTGCTGGTGTGGCTTATATAGATTCACTTGTACCGCATTAAACTAGGCATGTGCTAAATTAAAAACTAATTCAAGTTTCAGTGTAGTTTTAACACAACTTAAAATATTACTTTGATCTGTACTGCTGGCAGTCAGTGCATAAGCTAAATGCACTCAGATCCTAATCCAGTTCCCATAATACAAACATCCAGTACAGATCTGCACTGTTCATGGAATGAAAAATAAAAAAAAAATTGAAACAAAATATACTATTCAATTTCTTAAAGGTGAATATAAGTTCCTTTTCCTTCTCTCAGTCCTTCTTCTTGTCCTTTAAGGCACGGAGTCTCTCCAGGAGAGGTGGATGGGAATAATGCCACATAGAATACAGCCAGTCAGCAACTGGAAAACCTAGGTTATCCTTGTTCAGTTTTATTAGTGCAGAGTACAGGTCTGTGGCTTTTCCCAGATCCTTTGCAAATGCATCAGCCTGGAACTCAAATCTCCTGCTCAATACAGTCAGGCTAAAGGATAGCACCTATTAAAAACAAAAGTTCATCAAAATGTCAGATGCAAACTTAGGAACTTAGGACAAAAGTAAACCATTTAACCTCCTGAATCTATTTCACCACTCTTAATCAATAATTGCAATGCCATTTTCCTGCATAATACCCGTATTCATTGATGTCATTATTCTCTAGTAATCTACTAATCTCTGTCTTGAACATATTCAATGACTGAACGTCCACAGCCCTCTGAGGTGGGAAGTTCCAAAGATGCGCTATTCTTTGAGTGAAGAAACTTCCTCCTCATCTGTGTTCTAAATCGTTGGTCTCAGGTTCTACACATCTCAGCCAAGAAAAACATCTGTTCTGCATCCACGCTTCAAAAATTTAGGAAGTTCAATCAGAAGCAGTTTCCAGTTTAAACAAAACAGTTGCAAGAAGTCTGTCCTGTCCCACCCGTACTCATTTTTGGTGATGCATACAAGTTAAAAATAGAATAGATCAAGGGTCCCTCGAACCTGCTCTGCCATTGGACAAGACATAGCTGGTAGGTTTGTGTTCAAATTCCACATTCTCATCTACTCCGGATAACCTTTGAATATTCAATAAACCTGTCTCCACAGCTTTCTGTGGCAGAGAGTTCCAAAGGTGCCCAATTCTCAGGGAAAGCATTTCTCCTCAACTCTGACCCAAAAGGGCAAACCTAATTTTTAGACAGTGCCACCTAGTTCAAACTCACCCACGAAAAAAATATAGCCTTTCCAGGTCTGCTTTGTCAAAACTGTTCAGGATCTTAAAGACACCCTACACTTCTAAACTCCAGTGGAAATAAGCCCGGTCTGTGCAACTGATGATCATGTACAACCTGCTCATTCCAGTATCAACCCAGTGAATCTCCTCTGGGATTTAGGCAACACTCTGCATTTTTATTTTTCCTACCAAAGTGAGCAAATTCACATTTTTGTGCACTCATTCCAGCTATTTACAGCCATCTGAAACCTCAAGTCCATTTCACAACATACTCTCCTACTTATATTTGTGTCATCTGCAAATTTACCTGCCATGCCTTTACTCCCTCATTGAAGTCACCGATATGAATTGTAAAATGCTGAGGCCCCAGTATAGACCCCTGCAGGACTCCATTTGTCATATCCTGCCAATCAGAGACTTATTTATGCATACTGATTTCTGCTAGCTAATCTTTTATCCACACTAATATATTACACTTGCATCAGGAGTTCCCACAATGTGCAATAACTGTTTATGCAGCAACTTGCAAATACCTTCTGTAATTCTAAGTACAGAAAATCTACAGGCTCCCCTTTAGCCTCGGCACAATAGTCTGTCAAACAACCTCAATAAATTGGATGAATAGGATTTCCTTTTCAAAACCATGCTGACTCTTCCCAATTACCTTAAGATTTTCTAAATGCCTGGCTATAATCTAGTTAATGATTGATTTTAACGTATTTCCCATAACAGACATCAAGCTAAATGGCCCATTTTCCTGTTTCTTGCCTCCCTCCCTTCATGAAGATTGGAGTTATACTGGTTACTTTCCAGTCTGATGGAACCTTTCCAGAATTTAATGAACTCAGAATATCGCACACGAAACCAATTTAGTTTAAGTGCAGTGTGATCCCATCAGTTTCCTGACACCAATAATAAGCAACAGTGGTAGTAATTAAAATGATTCAAGTCATTAAGAATACCAGCATTCATCAGAGCTTCACCTTACCTCATTGTAGGGAGAGAAAATGAACTGGAAGATGATCATCAACCCAATAAGAGTAGGCTGGGTATCATAGAAACCAAAAGCAGAGAAAAGCTCCTTTCTGTCCATGAGAACAGCAAACAGGAAAAAGCAGAAGAAAGAGTTCACCTGAAATACAAGCATCAGTATTACATACAGGTAAGCCAGACCAATAAAAACCACAACATGCTAACACTGCAACTGCTACTGTTACAGATCACAAAACAGCAAACATCAACATGTTAGTCTGCTCTAGACAGTACTGTATGTTGTCACCTAATTTAGGTTCTATTACATGCAGTACACTTTCGTAAACCTCAACACAAAATGGAGCTTGACACCCTTGACTCCTATGATTGCATTTGTGCACAAACAGTTACAAACCTTCATTCAATTAAAGGCACCAGAATAAAAGTCAGTGAAATTAAAACACACATATACACCAACTGATTGTACTAAAACTACTGGAAATTTGGCATTTAAATTACATTTGGCTTTGGAATTTAGTATTGTAAAAACATTTTTATTTGCATGAAACCTGTTTCAGAAATATTATGGGGAAAAGAAAATTATCTCCACAGTCCAGAAGCTCTTCACCTCACCCTCTTCTCCCTTTAAGATATCTTATTTAAATCACGTTAGCACAGCAAGAAAGTATAATGTCTGCACTAACATTGGCAAGTGCCAGATTTGATCAAAACAGAATACTTAATGATGAAAATCTAAAGCAAGAGAAAATCCTAGGAAGATTCAGCAAATCAAACAGGATCGACAAAAGGTCTTTCCACAGATGCTGCCTAATCTGCAGAGTGTTCTAAACCAAGATTTGATCCCTGTCAACTTGCAGTGAATTTAAGAATAAAAGCCACTAAAATCAATCAAGCACAAGAAGAGATTAAGGCAGATGGTGTAATGAATAAATAGGGTCTTCCAGGGGAGAATGACATTTATTTTTCCCTTCAACATTCTGATATCTCTTCCATATTCACTTGCAGCCAGAAGAAACCAAGTGATTCTATGCAATTTTGAACTCTTCCAGGCGGATATATCCCATAATCACTTTAGGTCACATCAATTTTATGAAAAATTACTTTTGTTTTCTCTTCCCCGCAATAAATCTGACAATTTAACAATGGATAATGGATCTAAAAATAAAATAAAAAAAGCTCCAATACTGCAATCGAGCAAAAAATCTGTAGGTAAAAACAATGTCCAATGTGGCTCTTCTTTGGATCTTTGAATCTTTGAATTGTGTGTGGAGCTGACTGTTTTCAGCTGGGAAAGTACTGGGCTCCTGTTTCTCTGTTAGATGGAAACCCAGACTGGATAGAAAAGTCCTCAATGGTGAAAACCCCATTCTACCCAAACTCTCACTTGAAGAATGGCTACATGGGGGAGGACGAAAAACCAAATGTTATTTCAGCAAATCACTACCTCCAGAAAAGGAGAGAAAATATCCCTTCACAGGTAACAATGAATTGTCGTCATCTATGTTTCAGCACATCCATCCAGGTATACACTCTCTCTCACACACACACACACACAAATATAAGAACCACATATTACCTGACTAATAATGATGTTTTTCACAGTATGGCCCAATTTCCAATGCCCAAGCTCATGGCCAAGCACTGCTAGAACCTCTTGGTTACTGCAGCCCTGCCTCTTATTCTGGAAAGAAAGCATGCCTTACATGAAACTCAATTACTTGAAATTTATGAAACGTAATATCCCAATCTACCCTGGTGAGATGTCCACTGATCAGTCATGGTTTGAGCCAACATCTCAGACTTTATAACCTGCTCTGGTTGTGCCCCACAGTCGAGAATGGCCATTATTTTCTCGTATTCTGCCAACAGTTTCAGCCAAGACTACTGATGAAGTATAGCTGAGATGGTACTTTGAGATGGTACTTTCACTCCTCGCTCCAATGCCCATTCCCCCACACCCCAGGTCTCATCAACATTGCCCCAGGTCTCAAGAACAACCAATGGAAGAAAATTGAATAGGAGTTGTAGTAATACAAAAAGCTGGCTTACCTTTGGTCTTACTTTGGTTTCAGTGTTCTCAGTTTCACTCCCATCTCCTGCAGCTGTCTGTATTTCAATGTTCTCATCAACTGTCCCTTTATTTAATGGGGAATGATCTTCGAGGAGCGTATCAAACAGAACAATACGCTTGTTCTTAAAAAAGCCATAAAAATACGCATTGCTGTGAGATGACCTCTTTGATCCTATTTAAAACATTAAAGATTTATAGTTTTCATTACTGAGAATTGCTTTATCCACCTCATATTTATATGAAATTTTAGACAGGTTCTGCAGTCAAAACGTCAAAGTCACCCTAAAATTCCAATCAGATCTACATTTTTGGAATGTTTGCAAAATGAACTATATTCTCTATAATCCTTACACCAAATATAATGAAAACTGATTGAATGTTTTGGGTCAAACTGGGAACGGTTAAAGATAAAGACAAAGACAATGTAACATGTACAAACACAAGTGAAGAGGAGCTGATTTCAGTTATTCAACAAAGTGCTAGTGCAGGTAAACCAGAAAAGGCAATTATAGGGTAAAGCAGTAATGCAGCAATCAAGGGCATTCAGGCAGAAGATATTGCAAGTGCATAGTAGGCATAGCCCTTTTAGTATAGAGCACTGTATCTAACACTAACACACCCAGGGTGACAAAGATGAAATAAAACAGAAAAAGAAAGTTTGAGAAGTGATAGGACCAAGATTCAGTTATTAACCTGGAAAATTATGCCAGCTACAAGAGGGAACTGTACAAGTTCCTAGAAGAGGCAGAGCGAGATCACAAGAAACGATTGGCAGATAGCATTAGATTCAACATCTCTACCCTTTAATAAATGTATAAACTGTAAGCAGTTAGCTAGGGAGAAACATGGGCCTTTTAAAGAGCAAAGGATAGCCTTTAATTGAGGCAGAGGACATGACAAACGTACAAAAGTATGTTGCATCGGTCTTCATAAAGGAAGTGGATAACATGAAGATTACACTAAAGGCAGAAGAATGCTCTCGAACACGATAGCAGGTAGAGGAGCGCTATTGAAAAAAACAATACGAAAAACTGGTTAAGTGACTTGGCCCAGATGAAGTGCAGCCCAGGTTGCTGAAAGAAACAAAAGTAGAAACAGTAGAGGCATTGGATCATTATTTCTTCATCCTCATTGAATACAAGTGTTGGAGGACTGGATAGTTGCTAATGTTACACTGCTGTTCAAGAATGACAATAAACCAGGAAACTACAGGTCAATCAAGTGGTGATTAGCAACAGGAAAGTTATTGGAAAGCACTGTGCGGAAACAAACTTTCTTTTGGAAATGAACAAAAACAAAGTTGCTGGAAAAGCCTTTTGGAATTAAGGAGGAAATAGTTGAATTCGTTTAGTGGCTTAGTTGTTAAACTGTTTGTCACTTGTTTGAAGACTATGTTTGCCTGTATAAGTTGCCTGTTGTTTCTGAGCTTCTTGAAAAGCCTGAAGGCCTCTTTTTGTTCCAATTAACAGTAATAAAGAGAAACAAATCAACCACTTTTGGTGATTAAGACATTTACATTTCTGGTATGGCTTCTGGATAAAGAGACCGGATTTCCAGCACACTCCTCTATCAAAGTCATAACAGTCTACAATGAGCAGAAATACTGAACAAACTTCTCTGCCATGTGAGGGGCTCTATTGATGTGACTCACTGAAAGCCTGGAGCACAGAATAGATGGACAAAGTGGATGTGGTATAATAAATGGAATCGCAAGGATTTAGCACCACAAGAACAAAAAACTTCAAAAGAAAATCTTTAGCCAGTTTTTTGTTTGAGATAAAAATGAACATTTAGCAGGTTAAGCAGAATACAGAAGAAAACAAAAATTGTATTTATATAGTAGTTTACACAATCACTAGACTTCTCAAAATGCTTTACAGCCAAGGAAGTCACCACTGTAAGATAGGAAATGTGGCAACCAAGTTGCACAGCAAACCTCGACCAACAGGGATACAATAATGACCAAATAATTAATTTCACTTTTATGTTGTTTGTAGGATAAATATCAGACCTTCACAGCCATCTGAACAGACAGATGCGTCTTTGGTTGAGTGCATCACCCAAAAGAAGGCATCTGCAGCAATGCAGCACTCCCTCAGTATTACAGCTGGAGGGTCAGCTTTTCATTTTGTGTTCAAATCCTGGAGTAGAAATTAAAACCTGCTACCTTGTACCTCAGAAGTGAGAATGCTACTAATGGAGCCATAACTGAGGTTTAGGTTTAACATTTCAGGTTGCGGAGTGAATTTCTGGAGAGCCTGAAGAAAGGTCAACCAACTGAAGAAATCTCGCTTTTCATTTCTCCACAAATGTTGCCTACCTTTCTCAGCACTGTCAGCATTTTATGGTTGTACTTCATATCTTCATTATTTTGCTTTTGTAGGCGTTCACCAAGATATAAATGCATCTTCAGGTTTATTTATTTTCTGACCCTGGACAAGAGCTGAGTATTCCAGTTCAGATGCCAAGGAGGATTTCACTAAGCAGCAAATTATTTTCTTTAAACAGACTACTTTCAGTGAAAATATGAAACAACTGTATCTTCAAGTTTCATTGATCAAACGCTGTATAAAAGACATATTATCTCATTAAGCAAAGTGCCTTACCCTCCACTACATAAACCTTGGTTAAGGGAAAGCTGATACTCTTGGCCATTTCCTCAATACTCTCTCTCAACTCTCCATCAGGAAGCGGAGTGAATTTATCAAACAGTGGTGCGATATAATCAGCATAAATAGTCACCAAAACCTGAAGACAAAATGGATAGGGGAGAAATGTCAGAAGCACAGTAACATTTCACACCCTTGTCATCAAACCATCACCTGCTCAAGCCCACTCCACCACTCATTAACACCATACTGAGCTGTTTGTTTCACTACCCACATTCCTATCTGACCCCGATAAGTTTTGATTCCCTTGCTGAACACAAACGTTTCTGTCTGGACCCCTGATTTTGAACACACCTATCAAATATCCGAGTTCCTAATTCTCTAAATCCTAAAATCACCATCTTCAGCAAAGGACAGAACAGGGAACGGGAAGTCAGATTGGAAACCGGAGGAAAAACAGAATTAAAATAAAGAGGCCTGCTGTGTACTCACCAGAGAAACAATCAATGTGAAAAGCCAAGCATAAATGAAGAAATAATCCCCACCAATTTTAATAATGTACAAAAGGAGTGAGGTCACAGGAAGCAATATACACTGAGTCACTGCAAACTTCTTCAAAGCATCCTTAAAAAAGAATCCTAAAGTCTGCAGAAAAGAAAGACATTGCATTTGTTACAAGCCAGCAATATCAGACTGAGCACTGACTGCCTATTAAAACTTCTTCCCATTTAATATTCATCAATTTATTAAGTACACGAACGTTTAAAGGAAAAAGCTAACCAGTTTGCATGGCTACAACAATGTGCTCTTTATCTTGTTCTTTTGAGGACTGAGAAAGAGCCTCAGACAAAGTCAATCAGGACAACCAGTTTACCTTAGCAAAGAGGTTAAAAATCAGAGATTTGTGGCAATTGATAGGAAACCTGGAGGAGAGATGAGCAAACATTTCCTCTCATAGACAGTGGTAGGAAACATTGAACTCACAGCTGAAAAGGGTTATAGAGGCAGGAACTTCCACCCTATTTAAAAAACACTTAGATAAAACATACATCTACTTGAAACACCGTGCCCTGCAAGGTTACAGACTTGGTGCAGAAACGATTTTAGGCTAGGCCATTCTTCACCAACTAGAATGGGCATGACAGGCTGAATAGCCTCCTTCTGTGCTACAGTTATTTTCATAACTTCTAGAAGGATAATCAAGCAAATATTAAAAATAATTACCCTCAAAAACTTACTGAACCCAGTTTAGGGCAAAAATGTGATAGAATGAGATTCATGCAAATCATGATGTTCTAACTAATGATATGATTCTGACATCAGCAAGGGGCGTGGGGGAAACACTAGTCAACAATGAGTATGTAAAAAGAGAAGTTTTAGACCCTATATGAGAGAGTTGCATTTGAGAACATAGTATGTACTAATGTAAATAAAGGAGTGTTACAGAACACAAGGAGGTGAAGAGCCTTATTTAGAGATAAGGAACAATTAGTCTGAGGGATGGTATGTGCCAGTGCCCACAGCCCAAGATTCTCCAGATTAGTATCTCAACGTGCAGGTAACACTATTGGTTTAAAGCATGAGATATAGCAATAGCCTTAAATGAAATTAAGTTAGTTTAGAACTTTAGTGAAAAAAGATAGCAACTGAACTTAAATCTGCTTGTTATTCTTTCTGTGGAGCCACCAGAAACCAAAGGATAAACATGCTGATGGTGCCTTTTGTATTTTGCAAAAGAAAATAGCATTTTGTTCTAGACTGTCGTTCTAGGTGCTACTCCAGCATATTTACATTACAGTACTTAGCACGTACAGATTAGGCAGAGTCAGAATCAGTGATTTTTTAGACAGCGAGACTGTAAAGTTTATAAGGTAAGCGTCTGAGCTATCTAGATCAATCTCAAAAAGCAGCATGAAACAGAATCAGATTTCTGTACACTACAACAATTTGCAATTTATGCTGTGCTTGGCAAGCTTTCTCACAATTCATCATGGTCAGATGTTTTCTCACAGAAGGGACTGTGGGGTCAGGAAGATAACTGAATGTGGCATGGTAGGCTATTTTTAACAACTTTCTGGATACATAGGAAGACATATTTTACAGAATCCCTACAGGGTGGAAGCAGGCCATTCAGCCCATTGAGTCAACACTGACCATCCAAAGAGCAGCCCACCCAGACCCACTCCCCGCCCTACCTTGTCCCTGCATGCCCAGTGGTTAATCCAGAATTTCCAGATTTTATTTTAGATTTTCAGCATCTACGGGGTTTTGCTTTGTTCTGGCAAGAGAGTTCCTGGTTCGATCCCTGGTATGTGCTGAGTTGGCCATCAGTCAGAGCAGTGATGGAGTCAATGCAATCACCTGCAGTGGCCCCAATCTAGGGAGGGCATTAAAAATATCTTGGGAAGTTTCTTTTACTGACAAAACCAGGATCAACATCAGTACACCTGATGTGAACAGTCTGACCCTCACTGATTTAGTCTTAAACAAAGGAATAGCTACTTCATTCAGGTACCAGGAGGCTGTAATTAATGAGGATGTATGTCCAAGCGAGGTCACAGTCTGAGAAAAAGCAATGGAGAGGAAAATGCAAATTCTTCCTCTTTTTTCAAAAAGCCGAATTTACAACAGTTACTGGAACAGAGCAGATTTAGTTTCGCAGTTAACAAATTTAATAACATATACACTTTTCATTCTGTGATATATGAAGCTATCAGCTACCTTTGCCTCAAGCAAGGAATTTCCTAAACAAAAACAGAAATTGCTGGAAAATCTCAGCAAATCTGGCAACATCTGTGCAGGGAAAACAGTGTTAATGTTTCAGGTCCAGTGACCCTCCTTCAGAACGGATTATAGCTAGGAAAAGGTTGGTATATATGCTGAAGAATGGGGGTGAGGTGGTGTGCATGCGTGCGTGTATAGGGATATGACAGAAGGACACCGTGACGTTCTGTCTACAAAAGTGACCCTGAGTTTCCTATTGCCTGCCACTTCAACACACCATCGTGTTCCTGGCCAAAATCTCTGTCTCAGGCTCAGTGCAGTGATCCAGCAAAGCTCAGCACAAGCTGGACGAACAACACCTCATTTTCCACTTGGGGACCCTATAGCCTTAAGGATTCAATATCGAGTTCAATAACTTTTGGGCCTGAACACCTTCTCCCATGTGTTTACCCCAACACCGCCCCAAACCAGGCTTTGTCATCACAAGGGCTACTAATCACAACCAACCCACTGTCAGCCACTAATGGTCCTCACTGGTAGCTATTGATTCTCCCAGGCTGACCTGTACCCATTCCTCTGTCTGCCCAACTGTTTTTCTGTCTGGGTTCCAACTACACCTATCTATTTACTCCACTCCCCCTCATTTTCAGCAAACATACCAACCCTTTCTAGCCAGAATCGGTTCTGAAGGGGGGATCACTGGGCACAAAACATTTAACTTTGCTTTCTCTCCACAGATGGTGCCAGACCTGCAGAGTTTTTCCAGCAATTTCTATTTGTTTTTTCTGATATCCAGCATCTGCAGTTCTTTGGTTTTTAAGGAATTTCCTAAAGCTCTCTCCGTCTATCTCCCCTCCCCCGCTTTAAGATACTCTTTAAACATACCTCTTTGCCAAACTTTTGTTCACCCTGCCCTAATATCTTAGAAGGTATAAATAATTAAATTGCACTTGACAAAGGGACATATCACCATATTAAAGGCACTATATAAATGCAAGTTGTTTCTTTAATGCATTATCTTTCTGGCTGACTGCACCAAACACAGGGTTGATATTGTTTACTGTTAACTGTCTCTCCAAGCCTCGGGGCATATTCATTACAGCTTTGTGTAACATGTCAAAAGCACCGAAATGCTGCAGTTTGCTTGCCAGTACAGATTAATAAGCATCCCATTCAGTGACTGTGAGATGGAATCTCAAGGGTTTGGAAGATAACAAATCTGTCTTAAAAGGACGAGTCAAACCAAGTCAAATCATTCTATTTAACCACAAATGTCATCAGATATTGTTCATCCATACCTTTTATTTTTGGCAGCTGATTTGCAGTGAACAAAAAACATCATTTTGAACTCTTTAAACTACTAACATTTAAACAATTGCTAATGCCTTGCATTCAAGGATGTCTTCAGGAATATTTGAAGCTACAGTATTAAGCAGCCCTGAACAAACAGCAAAGCCAGCTTGGAGCTTGAAGATTCAATAACAGTGGAGCAAAGGATCATTTCTTCCACAGGTTAGTTACATTATTGGGGTTAGTGTAGGGGAGGCACCTTGGCTCTTTTTGGTATTAGCATGAATGAAGTTTGTATAGTATTTAGTTAAGATCGGATCATTTATCAGCTTATTGTTCGTTTAATTCATTTGGCGGTTTATAGTCTTGACAGTGAATTTTACCTAGAATGGCTCGTTGACTATTTATCAGTATGTGAAATATTGCAGCACAGTGGCAAGGGATGTTATTCAGACATTAAGTCTTGTTACATGTACCCAGATAATCAGCAGATAAGGGCTCATTCTGGTCTGTACGTACTATTTTCAAGAATGAAATCAAATCTCAAGGAAATATCGAAGTTTAAAAACATACAACTTGTAAGTACAACATTTTCTTTTTAACAACATAGACCATATTTTGGCCTCCTTTTCTGAGAGCAGTAGAGCAGAGTGTCCATCCTACTTAACTCGAAAAATGCTAATGTTTCATACGTTAACAAACTATAATCCATGTATGCCATTTGTAGTCTATTCTAAGAATTAATTTTTTTCACTCAAAGAAATTCTGGAATCCACAGACCTGCTGATTGAAACCATGTTTCTCTTCAATGATAAAGGTGTTGTAAATGCTCCACGGGAGACCTGTGACTGCACTGAATAATGTTGCAAGAAATAGGAACACCAAGGACTGAGTTATCTGTTAATAAATAAATAAAAAATGAAGGAAAGCTTTATTTTTTAAACAAAAGCACAAGCTGCACCACAGTGATGATTCTGAAAGGAAATATTCCTCGTATGAAATACTCCACAATTTGTACATAACTTCTAAAAGAATAAAATCACATCTATATCTTCCAACACGCAGCTTTGCAAGTAAGGATTCAGAATTGTAGCGTTACTGTGAGTAGTAATGAATTGAAACTACAAGTTACTCCCTGAAAGTGAAGATGATGTCTGATTTCTTTGAAAAGCAGGTACATGCACTGAGTGAAGAAAGAAAGGAAACAACCATTTTAATGTTGTAGATAGTTGTATGTAGGTCCTCCTTCCAAACGTTTTCACTGTTTGGTACAAACAACAGGCCATCTTCAAAATGTACTTCATTCTTTGACCTTTTCCTGCTCCCTTCAGCTAAAATGGTTTGGAACTTGCTGAAGTGTAGACTTAAAATGACACAATGATAACATGATAACTGGTTATAGTTTGTGTTCACCAGGACAGAGTATAATTGTTTGTCTCCTAAATAGCACTGTCAAATCTTTTACATAAACTTGAGGAGCAGATAGTTTACTATTTCATCCCATGTATGGTGCTGGCGATAACTTTTTTTAATTCATTCATGGGATGTGGGCATCACTGGCTAGGCTAGCAGTTTAAGAGTCAACCACATTGCGGAGGGTCTGGAGTCACATGTAGGCCAGACCAGGTAATGATGACAGTTTCCTTGCCTGTTAATTCCAGAGCTTTTTTTCCATTGGATTCAAGTTCCACCATCTACCATGGTGGGATTCAAACCCAGGTCTCCAGGACATTACCAGGGTCTCTGGATTAATTATCGAGTGATAATACCACTAGGCCATTGCCTCCACCTAAATGCAGCGCTTGTACAAATACTGCACTGGGTTATCAAATCTGTATGATAATACACTGAACTTTCAGCAACAGCTCAAATCAACAACTTTCTAACTCAAAGGAGCGAGCGCTGCCTCTGAACAAAGATTAGTTTGTTCAGTGCTTCTTTAATCTCTGCATGATTTTCATTTAGCTGGGACTGACCAAGTGACTGTCCTTCTCTGGTTTTAGCCAACGTGATTTTTAGACAAAAAGAAAAAAAAATCATTTTATTTTGAGACCTCAGGCAGGGCAAGAATGAATGGTGGCAGTTGGTGTAGCTTGAGTGTAAAAAATGATTAGAACTGAAGTTGTACCAATCTTCTGAATAAAATGACAATGTTAATATCACAGCTTTGCTGGGTTAATGTAAAGTAAAATAATTGCAATTAAAATTTGTGGTTTGGCAACGAAGCCCAGCCTAAATATTAAGAACTTTTAAATTCTCCAATCAACCTTATAAGAAAACGGTCATTGTATGTTCTAGCAATTATGTTTTACACTCAAATTAAGCCCCTGTCCACCACACCTCCCTCATACCACCAAACCCCCTCACTCAAAGCTACCAGTTAGAATGATCTCACCTTCCATGCCCAGATGCTGTGAGTTAAAACTGAACAATATGAACAGCTCAATGGTCATTCCTTCCATGTAAAGCAAGATAATGGGGAGATTATAGACTGGGAAGGAGTTGGGGAAAAGGAAATACAACTCAACACCTTCATAAAACAACCTGATCAATGAAACAATTCTAATTTTTGCATTTTTCTTCTGGTCAGGAAAATTAGGATCACCATTCTGAAAGTAATTAAATGAATTTTGCAAGTTTTGAATATATGATGCTTGCTGCACAGAAGGAGAATATAGTCTATGTTCAAACCACATTATGGAAACTCAATTTGGAACACATCTTTCAAATTAGTTTGTGTTACTGCCAGGAAGAATCACCAAAATCATTCAACATTGAAAATCTGATATTCTAAGTAACAGAGTGCCTACTTCATATTCAGGTCCTAGACCAAAACGTCCAATAATGTGCCCGGATACACTCCATAGAAAGGGAATTCCACCAAGCAAGAGGATAAGCTGCAAAGACAGAAGCACAATTACAAGAATTACTTTTATAACCAGTGGAATGTTTGGTATTAAACCGGTACATGTAACTAATGGGCTACAGTTGTACCCGAAATACCCAATATTGAAACAGATGAGAATTGTGCCTTGAAAATTTAACACTTTGTTTTGGGGCTCACATTTGCTCCTTGGCTGTTTACAAACTAGATTATGAAATCTCACACGCAAAATGGTAATCATTCTTCAAACAGAGCACTGAGACGACCAGGTTATTCAATCCTGAAGATGGGGGGCACTGCAGCCAAACCTTTTGGGGTTAGGAACAGAAAGAGAGAAAAGAAGTGAGAGGGAAAACGTCTGAAATCCACCAGATTGTGACAAAATTCCAATTATTTCCGACATGTCACTCAGGCCTTGTCTGGACTAAACATGGTTCCAGACCCACAATACGTGGTCATATAGAACTTCAACTTTGCTAAAAGGTGACAAGAAGGGAGTCTTTTTGGCTTCGCTCATCAGAACTGGGCCATAAGCAACAGACTTGATAAAAGTGACACCATTTCATAATATAGCATGAGATATGGTGTTGATTGGTCGAGCTATAATTGGCATGGAGATACAGCAAGAAAAATTAACTGTTGATCTTAATTCTCTGGTCAGGCATGTATGTTCACAAAGGGGAAATAGCAGCTTTGGCTCTTGTCTTGACCCCTTTTCTTGATAAGATGTAACGTATGCCTACATAAAACAAGGTCCTGAGTATTTATGTATGCAGTTTCTAGCACATGCAAATGCATTGCACTATGGGCCTGGATGACGATCTCATGTTCATTTCCTGTAGCACTGCATTCCAGGCACATTCAATCGTGAACTGCATAGGCAAAAACAACTAACAAGAGGTGGATGCTCCAGAGATATCCCCATTCCCAATGTTGGGGGTGCTCTGTATATCACTACAAAAGATAGGGCTGAAACATTTGCATCCATCGTCAGCCAGGTGTGCCAAGCAAATGATCCATTTCGGCCTCATTAGAGACCTGAGAATCACTGAATACAGCAAAGGCTATTGGCCCTAACAACATTCCAGTAACAGTACTGAAGAGCTGTGCTGCAGAACTAGCTGTGTCCCTAGCCAAGCTGTTCCAGTACACCAATAAACTGGTATCTGCTTAACAATGTGGAAAACTGATCGGATATGTCTTGTTTACAAAATCCAATCCAACCAATTACTGCTTTGTCAGTGTACCCTCGCTTATCAGCAAAGTACATATCATTGACAGTGTTATCAAGTGCATTTGATCAGCAAAAACCTGCTCACTGACGTTCGGTTTAAGTTCCACCAGAACCACTCAGTTCCTGACCTCATTACAACCTCTGACCAATCACTCTCCCACCACGTGTCATCAGGAGAATCACTCTGACTGACAGTTGGACAAATGCATCCCTGCAAATTCCAATCCACATAATACATACACATACACATACATACACATCCACTATCCATCTTCTATCCGCCTCCCCCTCTCTCCCTATTTCTTTCAGAACCCCCTTCCCCTCCCCCATTTCTGATGAAGGGTCTAGGCCCGAAGCGTCAGCCTTACTGCTCCTATGATGCTGTTTGGCCTGCTGTGTTCATCCAGCTCTACACCTTGTTGTCACATACACACACAATCCTGTTCTACCTGCACTTCACTTAAAATTCAACTCTTGATGGAAGGACAGGTACAGAAGGAAAACTGTTAAACAAGAAGGAAGGACTTTTAAGATAGATGTGAAACACCATGTTGTTTTACCAAACAGATGATGCCTGCAACCATAACATATAAATATTTGAAGGCACGTGGGTACATAATTCCTGATTTTTGAGAGATATTAAATTGCCCTGCCTTTCCTATTTCTTGGGTTTGGAAAACAGAACTCTTGAAACATATGGCAAGAAAGCATTTATAAAATCAAGAAGAAAAATGTAAGACCAATTTCCTAATGAAATATAACCATGATAACGTAGAAAAATGCAACAATGCTAATGTAACACTGAAGTTAAAGTATGAGATAACTGACAGAAAATTAAGACTTCATACAAAATAAACATTTAATTGTATCTTTGAAATCAGACAATCAAATTTCCATTTACAAATGTATCATACACAGCACTACTCACTGTTCCCTCAGTCTCAGAATAAAGACCAGACCAGAATCCAAAAGTACTCTTATCCAGCTGGTACAGACGAGATTTCTCAAATGTTTCAGAGTCCATGATCTTTCCCAATTCTTCAGGGACCAGTGTGGTGTCTCTGTACGTCTTGCGCTAAAAAAAAGGTGAAAGAGATAATTCGTACGCCATGTCTGCAGTAGAATTAGATTCCATTCTCTCTCTGACTCATGCGTCGCATGCCTTATTAAAGTGGTCATTTATAACTCTGGATAGAATGCAAATAAGTCTCATCAACCACAACAAGCCCAACTCACATTTCAGCAGGGATCTGTTCATAGTTGCCAAAACCAGAAACCCCAACTACTGCCTCTGCCTTCCCTTCCCAGCAGATATCTGTGCAGTACCTTCGTCAAGATCGGGTAATTCAGCAGAGTCCACCGATTTTAGAGTACTTCTGGTCTTTCATAACTTAGGGTCACATCAAACAGTGCATTCATTCACTGAACACTGGTGGGGTGTGGGGGAACAAGCTAAACACATCAGCTGCTTTACACTTTTCTTTCCACTTTACAATAGGGAATCCCTAGCAAATACAAAATACCCATTTTCTCCCAATGGCAGAAGTTAGACAACTTTTTCAATCAATTAAAAATATTACAATTAGCAATTAATTCAGTCAGAGGCTAGAAGAAAATGTAACAGTTTATTTATGGAGACTTGGTGCCATAGTCAAACCCATATTACGATCAATGACAATTGACAGTGGAGGATAAGGAGCTCACTCTCCATTTTTTTTTTGGGATTGGGGGTCTCTCAATTCCAGGCATCAGTTCCACTTCTGGCCTTTACACACAAACAAAAGAAATAAGAGCAGAGAGGACTATTCAGCTCTTACAGCACGGCTGATCTTCTATTTCAACACCACTGTCTCACCACTCCCCTTATCCCTTGATTTCTGAGATTCCAGACACGATCTATCTCAGTCTTAAAACAGAGAAAATAGGAGGAGTAAGCCATTCAGCCCTTTGAACCTACTATGCCATTCAACATGATCATGACTGATCATCCATTTCAGCACCACGTACCCTTTGATCCCTTCACACTTAAGAATTACATCTAACTCTTTCTTGAAAACATTCAATGTTTTGGCTTCAACATCTTTCTGTGGCAGAGAATTCTGCAGGCTCACCATTCGAGTGAAGAAATTGCTCTTCTTCTCAGTCTTAAATGGTCTATCCCATACCCTTAGACTGTGATCCCTAGTTCTGGACCCCCTGTTCATTGGGAACATCCTTCCTGCAATTACTGTTAAGGCCTTATTAGAAGTTTATTGGATTGGATTATAATTTCACAAAAAGACCATTACTATTCTTACCTATCTAATCATAGCTGGAGAATCACTGGGATTGGCTTCTCTCCCTGCTCCACCTCCTTAGTTCTGGTCTCCAAAAATCTATCCTTGGCCACGTCCTATTTCTCATCTACGCTCTGCTCCTCAGCCACGTCATCCGAAGGTAGTGTTATTTTTGACGTGCGTGGTTGACACCCAGCTCCACGTCACAATTACCTTTCTCAAGTCCTCCACGGTTGCTAAACTATCAGACTGTAAATCGGACATCCAGCAATGGCTGAGCAGGAATTACTTCCAATTAAATATTGGAAATATTAGTGAGAGCCTTTGGTTCCCCCCACTCCAATCTACAGTCCCTAAGCACCCACTCCATCCCTCTCCCTGGCAAGCCTGAAGTTCAGTCCTTTTGCAATTTCGGTGACATAGGATTTTGAGATGAGCTTTGGACCTCATATACATACCAACTGTAAATAGCTCTTGATAGGCAAACTCTTGATTTTAAAATTCACATCTTTGCTTCCATATCCGTCCAAAATGTCATCCCTTCCTATCTCTGTAATCACCTTCAAGTGTCCCTTATTCCAAAATCCTCAGATCTCCCTGCTCCTCTAATTCTGGGCTCTTCCAGCACCCCTGATCATAATTGCTCAACCTTCAGTTGCCAAGCTCTGGAATTCTCACCATAGACTTTCCTTAGTTTATTTTCTTCCTTTAAGACACTCCTTTGAACATATTTCTTTCATCAAAACTCTGTGAGCATCAAAATGTCAAAGTTTCACATCTTTTAAAGACTGTGGATCATGCACCATGACTGGGAAGAAAGATTAACAGACATGATCCTCACCAAATACATCCACTCTTCAGAAGTACTCATCTGCAATGAAAGCTCTACCTGACTTCCTCCCTAGGTTAAAGACATGAGCTAATTCAGCCCAATCCAGGAATTCTTGTGCTGTTTTGTTTTTACCTAAATGAAGATTCCTCAGTCTCTCATCATGGTTAATTTGCTGTCTAACACTCACTGGCTCAAGCTTGGAGATTTTCTAATCGACCTGTTCAGAGATGTTATTGCATAACACTGAAGCAAGGACACAGATCAGATATAAAAGCATTCTTTTAAGAAAATGCTTCCTTTAGATATGCAACACAACTGTCTTACTTTCCAAATCATATGCATGCATGAGTGTGAAAAATTGCAAGTATCAAAACCAACTATTATGTTCTTATATGAAAGATAAGGCATTTGACAAGGTTCCACATGGTAGACTCATCAGCTAGTTTAGATCACATGGAATACAAGGAGAACTCGGCATTTAGCTACAAAAGAGGGAGATGATGTCCCAGTGGTATTATCACTAGACTGTTAATCCAGAGATCCAGATAATGTTCTGAGCACCTGGGTTTGAATCCTGCCACAGCAGATAGTGGAATTTGAATTCAATTAAAAAAATGTCTGGAATTAAGAGTCTGATTATGACCCTGAATCTTTACATTAATGTGTGTCAAGTTTGGGGTAATCACTTTGAGGTGCTACATTTTGGAGGTTGGTGACAGAGAGTTGTTTTGCCCATGACCTGCAGCATGCTGCAAGGATTGGTGCTGGGTCCACTGCTTTTTGTCATTTATATAAATGATTTGGATGTGAATATAGGAGGTTTGGTTAGTAAGCTTGCAGATCACACCAAAATTGGTGTAGTGGACAGAGTACTTGATCAGATGGGCAAATCAGCCAAGGAGTGGCAGATGGAGTTTAATTTAGATAAATGTGAGGTGCTGCATTTTGGTAGGGCAAATCAGGACAGGACTTATACACTCTAACGGTAAGGTCCTAGGGAGTGTTGCCAAACAAAGCAACCTTGGCCTGCAGGTTCATACTTCCCCAAAAGCGGAAGATACGGTAGTGATGAAGGCATTTGGTACGCATGCCTGTATTGCTCAGCGCATTGAGTATAGGAGTTGGGAGGTCATGCTGCAGCTGTACAGGACATTGGTTAGGCCATTTTTGGAATCTAGAATTCTAGTCTCCCTGCTACAAGGAGAATGTTGTGAAACTTGAAAGGGTTCAGAAAAGATTTACAAGGATGTTGCCAGGTTTGGAAGGTTTGAGCTATGGGCAGAGGCTGAATAGACTGAGGCTATTTTCCTGGAGTGTCAGAGGCTAAGGGGTGACCTTATAGAGGTTTATAAAATCATGGGTATGGTTAGAGTGAATTGACAAGGTCTTTTCCCAAGGGTAGGGGAGTCCAAAACTAGAGGGCATAGGTTCAAGGTGAGAGGGGAAAGATTTAAAAGGGACCCAAGGGGCAACATTTTTACACAGAGGATGGTGTGTGTATGGAATGAGCTGTCAGAGGACATGGAGCAGGCTGATACAATTACAACATTAAAAGGGCATTTGAATGGGTAGATGAATGTGAAGGATTTAAAGGGATATGGGCCAAATGCAAGCAAATGGGACTAGATTAATTTAGGATATCTGGTCGGCATGGATGAATTGGACCGAGGGGTGTGTTTCCAGACTGTACATCTCTATGATTCAAGGTGATTACCCCAAACTTGACACACATTAATGTAAAGCTAAAAAGTTAGTAATTTGCATCTGTTCATACAAGATGATGTTGTTACAGGTTTAGGACAATAGATTAGGTGGGCATGGGGAAGAGCCTTTCCTACACAGCAAATGGTAATGTCCTGGAATTTTCTATCCACCAGTGTGATGGAAACGTGGGCAATCAATGATTTCAGATGGAAATTGGACTGACAGCTGAAGAAAATAAACCTAAAAGACTACCCCAGTGGAGGATCGGGGAATGGGGCTGACTGGATTACTCCAGGGAGAGCTGGCATGGACTCGATGGGCTAAATGCACTCCTACTGTACCTTAATGACTCGACCCCAAACCCTCCCCACCCCAGGTCGTTTCCAACCCTGGAAATATTTTACAACAGGAAGACAAGGGAAAGTTTGATTTGTCAAATGGAACACAAAATATACTTCAGTTAAAGCCATCGTATATAAAATGCAACTGCGCAGAGAGGAATTGTGTGCGTGACAAACAGGGGCAATTGCCCCACTGTCGCACTCTCCAACTCATTCAAAAACTGTCAAGCAAGCTAAAAGCTGTGGGGGGGTTCGATTTTAGTTTCAAACTTGAGCTATTGATCAAAAACCTTTTGACCAAGTCTTTACATGTTAAATCAAAAGCTACAATGGCGCATCAAAATTGATTGGGTAAGGTGATATTCAAAGCTTCCTATTAGATTGCTGCACCGTTACAATGTATCGAACGCTTCCATACATTGTATCAAGATTGTTGGATACATTGTTTCACCAAAGGGGTGCGATGCGTTTCTTCACCAAACCGGGCGTGGTAACAATTTGCTAAGATTCTCCAAACGGGGGAATTTTCGTCCTTTAATGTTTGGCTATTTCTCCCCCACCCCAACCACTGATTCTGGGGAATGTTTGAAGGAGACACCCACTCACCTGTCTTTGGGCTAGGTAGGCCTCCCATAGATACACGGTCCATGAAAAGAGCAGCACCGAGTAAAATATTTGATTTTCGGTGCTTATCTCTGCAATAAGGTGAATCATGATTCCCAGTCCACTTTCGATTGTCACCGGTACGGGAAAACTATTCAATTTTATTTAAATCTTCTTTTTACAAGATCTCGACCGTTGCTAGACAAAATAAAAAAAACAGTTTTTTTTAACAGAAGGGGCTCTTCTCTCACTCTCGCACTGGTTTTTGTTTACTCACTGTTGTAAGCCACCCCCGTTAGTTAATTGAATATTTATTAGGTTCTTTTTCTCGATATATACACCTCAGTCACCCATGAAGCCCTTACCGCCAGCTGGGTTACACTTAAATAGATCCGGGCGGACAGGAAGTTGGTTGCGCTGGTAAAGTTTGTTCCAACGTACGAAGCGACCTTTTCCTTCACCCAGAAACAGTCACTGGAGTTGAATTAATGTTCGTCAAACCAAGCTAATTAAACGAACAAGCGTATCATCTTTTTTTCAGAGGGCACGCTTAGAAATCTAAATAATAGAAAAAACCCAAACGACCAAGACAGACTGCAGCAATTTAAGGAGATAGCTAACCACCACCTCCTCAAGGGCATCTTGTGATGACAGTAAATGTTGTCTAGAAAGTCATATTCACATCCCATGAGTGAACTTATAAAAATAGCAGGAGTAGGCCAGTGTACCCTCAATCCTGTTTGATCAAATAAAAAGATCATGATTTTTGGTTGATCTGACAGTCGCCTTAACTCCACGTTTCTGCTTGTCCCCCACAGTTACATTGCTTAAAAGACATTTGGATCAGTACATGAATGGGAAAGGTTTGGAAGGATATGGGCCAAATGCAGGCAAATGGGACTAGTTCAGTTTGGGAACATGATCAGCGTGGACTGGTTGGACCTAAGGATCTGCTTCCACACTGTATGATTCTATAACCTTTAATTTCAGCAGTCATTCTAACTCAGCATATTTGATGACCCAGCCTGCATTGGCAAAGAGAATTTCAATCATTATAAAATGACAGAGAAAAAGAATCCTCAGCATCTTTGTTTTAAATGAGGGATCACTTATTTTAAAACTATAGCCCTTATTTCAAGATTCTCTCCTGAGGGGTAATATCTCTCAGCATCTACCCTGTCAAGCCCTGAGGGTTATGTGTGCCGTATGATTTCAGTCAATATTGGAAATGCTTCAAGGGTTCCGATGGGTCCCTCATTTTCCTTCTCCATGGTTGCCCAAGTGGTGGCACATAAGAGAAAAAGGGATGGAGCAAAAGTAGTGAAAGGCAGCTGCAGTACCACAGGCATTTGTAATGTTAGGCTTTAAAATGGTATTTCCAAATCAGTTTGTTAAAGGTTAATCATTAAGGGTTAATTGGATATGGCTATAAGCAATGGAAGGAAAATACATGAAAAACCGGCTTAGTATAAAAACAGCCTTTATTGGCTGGAAGATAATTGCAGTGAGCTTGGCTGGGTTTGGGAATACCCTGTGTGCAAAGACAAAGAGGCATTTGGACCTTTTTTTTCCACAAAGGAATGCTCAGGAAAAGTACACAGAGATGGACATACAGCACATAATATCAGATTCAGAATAGGACGTTTCCCAACTTAGGGAACTTTTCACCATCAGCCTGGGGTTCACAGAACCGGGGCCATGGAACCTGAGATAGAGCTCCAAGTGCCAACCATCACCTGGGACACCCCAATGGTAGACGGCAGTGAGGCTCGCTTGTTGAATATGTCTCAGGCAGTTTAAGCTAATAGATTCACTCATTAGTTTGCATGTATCTAAATTAGATTAAGCTAATAAATTTGCTTTATATCAAAGTGCATGTGTTTTCATGTATTCCTTTTGAACAGACCTTGAGGAACCTGTTAGTCACTTGCAACCTAACCATACAGAGAGGAGGAAGGCAACACAGTGTGGAGCTGGAGGAACACAGCAGGCCAGGCAGCATCAGAAGAGCAGGAAAGTTGATGTTTCGGGTCGGGACCCTTCTTCGGACTGAGTGAGGAGTTCCCTAACACCTCGGCTAGAGTGCAGGATGTTGCTCCCACCAACTTAACAAGACTGAAACATTCCATGCCAACAGTGTGTTTGTCCTCTAGTATCAGTGAATCAGCCCCTACTGTCACATTGTGTAATTTCTTTAACTAATTACCTAATGTATCACAGTAGTAACAGTTTAATTGGCTTTACGTTTGAGAAGCCGTGAGAAGTCTTTAATTGAGGTTATCATGTTGCTGGCATATTTGAAAATGTGACCAATAGGTTAATGGAAAAGCTAGGAAAATTGGCATTGGCAGCTATATAGGAAATTGTAGAAGCATGTGATGATAATTATGATGGTGGCCTCGCTAGTCTTTTGAAAGAGGGTATAAAGCAACAACTGAGTTAGAAACTGTCTAGAATAGGTTGGCCTACAGTGCCCATTTGTGTGCTTTACAAGTGGATAAAGAAAATAGAAAGCTGTGTGAATTGGGAAAAGAGCTGCAGGGTTAAAACAATTACCAATAGAAAAGCATTTCTCTGTATTACGTATAACGGATACAAAGGTTGCAAGTAGACCCATCATTGTGACTGGGCAAACTGAATATTAATGTTGAAACTAAGATATAATGAACTTCTCCCTTAATAGAACAAAAATAAAACCATGTCAGACAGCAACCTGTGAACTGACAGCACCTAGGACTGTTATGTTGCAAGGCAAGGAGGTAACTTTGAAAATGTAGTAAACAGCTGTTCCATCCCTGTGCAGTGAGATAAAGTCAGTATGTACTCTCACCCATGAGCCGGAAGGAGTGGACAAGGCAGTGGGACCCTTAGGCAGAGACAGGAAAGAGATCAACAAATCCTTTTACCCCAGTGAATTTAAAGAAGCTCTCTGTGAGCATTCCCATGGCTATTACAAGGAGAACATCCCTTGAAATCCGTATTAAAACAAGGAGTAGCCCGAAAGCATCATAAGCACAAGACTTTCAAATCTTATCTGATTGAAAAATTTAAAAACATTTTTTTTAAAACTGCAATAGAAAAAATGTTGTGAAAAATTGTTTTGGCTTGTTCTGAAAACATAACTAAGTTTTTGGAAGACATTCAATTTGAACTCAATTTGGAATGAGAAATGTTTTGTCCATATATTCATATTTTCCATAAATTCATATTTAAACACGTGCAGTGTGCCTAAATGACTACTACCCAATAGCTCTGACTTCAATAATCATGAAGTGCTTCAAGAGGCTGGTCATGGCCCACATCAACTCCAGTGTCCCAACCTGCTTCGATCCCCTACAATTTGCCTACTGACATAACAGGTCCACAGAAGATGCCTTATCCCTAGTCCTGCAGTCATCCCTGGAACATCCACTCAACAAAGACACCTACATCAGACTCCTGCTCATAGACTACAGCACCACCTTTCAGCACCATTATCCCCTCCAGACTGATCTCAAAACTGCGTGACCTTGGTCTCAGCTCTGCCCTCTGCAACTGGTTCCTCAGCTTTCAGACCCATAAGCCGCAATCAGTGAGGATAGGTAACTGCACCTCCTCCACAATAACACTCAACACTGGAGCCCCCCAAGGATGCGTCGTCAGCCCCCTACTGTACTCCCTGTACACCTACAGCTGTGTTGCCAAATTCCGAACAAATGACACTACCATAGTGGGATGGATATCTAACAACGACGAGTCAAAATACTGAAGGGAGATAGAGGGCTTGGTGACATGGTGCGATGAAAACAATCTGTCTCTCAACAAAATTAAAGAACTGATCATTGACTTCAGAAAGAAAGAAGGAGAACACACCCGCATCTACATCAATGGAACTGAGGTTGAGAGGGTGAAGAGCATCAAGTTCCTCAGAGTGATGATAATCAATGACCTGTCCTGGACTTCCCACATAAATGTGACAGTCAAGAAGGCACAACTCCTCTTCTTCCTCAGGCGGCTCGGGAAATTTGGCACGTCCATAAGGTCCCTCACCAATGTCTACAGATGCCCCATTGAAAGCATACTGTCCGGGTGCATAACGGCCTGGTATGGCAACTGCTCTGCCCAGGACCATAAGAAACTACAGAAGGTGGTGTGCACAGCCCAGTCCATCATGAAAGCCAACCGTCCATCCATAGACTCCGTTTACATGGCTCGCTGCTGCGGAAAGGTGGCCAACATCATCAAAAACCCATTGCACACTGATAATGACCTCCTACAACCTCTTACATCAGGCAGGAGATACAGAAGCCTGAACATATGGACAAACAGATTCAGGAACAGCTTCTTTCCTTCCGTTATCAGACTGATGAATGGACTCTAGCCTCAAATTATGTAACCTGTGTGTTTCTAAGTCTTTTTGATCTGTACATCCTTTGCTTGCTGTAATGTGCCTGTACCACTCATAAACAAAGCTTTTCACTGTAGTTTGGTACACGTGACAATAAAATCAATCAATCAATTTTTGAAGTTGCTCTTTTTAAAAGTATTTATAAAGTTTTCTTTAAGACAATAGAAATCTAAATTACCAGTTTGAAATTATCAGCAGGTTTTGACAGTTTTAAACTGACTAGCTGAGAATACGACATGACATCACCTGGTGACTTAGGCCCCTCCCTTCTCAGACCAACAGAGTTAACTCTTTCTGGCAGAGATAGTAGGAACTGCCGATGCTGGAGAATCTGAGATAACAAGGTGTAGAGCTGGATGAACACAGCAGGCCAAGCAGCATCAGAGGAGCAGGAAGGCTGACGGTTCAGGTCTGGACCCTTCTTCAGAAATGGGCGAGGGGAAGGGGATTCTGAAATAAATAGAGAGAGAGGGGGAGGCGAATAGAAGATGGATAAAGGAGCAGATATGTGGAGAGGAGACAGACAGGTCAAGGAGGCGGGGATGGAGCCAATAAAGGAGAGTATAGGTGGGGAGTTAGGGTGGGGGTTGGTCAGTCAAGGGAAAATGGACAGGTCAAGGAGGCAGGGATGAGGCTGGTAGGTAGGAGGTGGGGGTGGGG